AGACATTTGAACAGACACAGTAATTTGAACTGAGAAAGTTAAATATAATTTTTAATTGTAGCAGATTCATATAGTAAGTAGTAGAAAAATCTAAAGACCGTAGGGTTGAGTGCTCACTATACTAAAATTGGAACAATATAGATTAGTATGGCCCCTATGCAAGGATGACACCTAAATTTGTCAAGTGTCCCATATTACTTTGTTAATAAAAGGAATTTAGGGTTGAAATAGGGTACCCAAAGAAAGGCTCTACTCCCACCACCCCTAGAGCCCAGGGGTGGGCAAACTTTTTGACTCGAGGGCCACAATGGGTTCCTAAACTGGACCGGAGGGCCGGAACAAAAGCATGGATGGAGTGTGTGTGTGAACTAATATAAATTCAAAGTAAACATCATTACATAAAAGGGTACGGTCTTTTTTTTTTTAGTTTTATTCATTTTAAACGGGCCGGATCCGGCCCGCGGGCCATAGTTTGCCCACGGCTGGCTAGACCCAGGCCTTGCTGGAGAGGTCCCTGTGGCTCACTGGATGGTAGAGAAATCACTGTGGTGCTATGCAGTCAGAACTTGCTGGAAACCAGTCCTCCAGGGTCCCATGGAAAACTACCTGTTCGCAAATTAGTATCTCAGGTATTCTGCAAGATACCACCCAGAGAGATGTGGGGTGCTGCTGGCCACAGGGCACTGCAGAAGATGGCCAATAGAGGGCACTAGAGAGACACTGCAGCCCTTTTCCTCCTGCAGTGTCTCTCTAGTGCCCTCTATTGGAAAGTCTTACTATTGTGCCAGCCGGGAAAGAAAAAGTATGTGAAGGGCCCAGATGCATTTTCACACAGCAGGCAAAAAAGGAGTAAATTTAGAGCTGAGTAAATTTGCTCCCCATGTAGGCCTTCCCAGTGAGAAAAGAATATGCAGAGAAGCTAACAGGAGTAGTCGGATCCATCCATGTGTCAGACATTCATTTTTCTGTCCAAGAAGCATGTCTGGGCTGAATGTGTCCCTCCAAAAGTCCTCTGTGGAAACGCTCATCCCCAATGGTATTTGGAGACAGGGCCGGTGCTACCTGTGTAATCAGCCATTTTTCCAGTCTGTTGTGATGAGGGGTGCCAGGAGAAGCACACGGTGACACAGAAATGCCATGAGATCCAAGTGGCCTGTAACCCTGTGGTTAGAGAGCAGCTGCCTGGAGAACAGCCAGGGCCCACAGTACTACACCTTGAGTGCCAGGGCCTGGGGGTTTATAACCGCACCACGACCTTGACCAGTCTCCTCCCATGGTTCACCTTCGCTGAGCCTCTTACCTGGCTACTTTGGGGCCAAGGATTAGCCTTAATCAAGACCCATGTGTGTGGCTTTCTGAAACCTGCAGGATTAAAATACCAGAGGATTGTTCAGTAATAAGATAAAAACGTAAGTATTTCTTAGCCTCAAGGATCTCAGAGACAGGTGTCCCTCTGTAATATTTTGTCTTATTTACTGCCATAAAAGCAGCCCAGGTGACAATGCTAAGTCTTCCCAACTCCTCCTGGGTTCCCTCTACCTTGCAGGATGTCACTCATCATAGGTCATGTCACTAACACCCGTGTTCTAGCCTGTACCTCTTGTGAAAAATCTAAAAAGCTCGCATGTGTTTGAGCGTATCCTGAACTGGGGTACACACGACAGGTTCGGCCACCTAAAACTTAGTACATATTTAGCAGAGAGTAAGACATAGAATTCATCTACAATTAACCGTTTAAATTTCAGTGAGGCCCCTTGGAAGCAGAACCAGTAAGTAACTCCATGGTGACCAGCATTTCTTTGGCCTAAATCAGGGTTCCTAAACCTCGACACTGTTGACATTTGGGGCACGGTAATCCTTTGTTGTGAGGGGGCTGTGCTGGGCATTGCAGAATAGTGAGCAGCATCGTTGGCCTCTACCTATATGTCCCTGGCCACTAAAAACCCCAGTTATGACAAATAATTCTCTATATATTACCAAACGTTCCCCGAGAGGCCTACGTGAAGGTGTATTTTTGTGATAGATACTGCTGAATGACAATTTTAAAAGTTTATCGGTTTGTGTAAAAAAATTATCAGGATCAATATTTAAGAATAGACACAATAGGGTGGGGGGGCCATGGGGAGATAAGGACACATATGTAATACCTTAATAAAGAAATTTAAATATAAATAAATAAAAGAGAAAAAGATTTTTAAATTCAAAAAATAAAAATAAATGTGTTAAAGAAAAAAAAAGAATAGACACAATAGATATTTTAATGAAAGCAATGGTCCTGCCATTCTTTATTTCTCACAATTCATTTTTACAGAAGGAAAAAAAAACCCTGCACATTTTAAATTCTGATCATACAGTTGTTTTTTTGCAGTTGCATAAGGAAAGAATGAATTTCTTAATGACTTTTTAAAATAACTTCAAGGTCTAAAGGTACAAATTATACACTCAGCATTCAGTCACTGGAGTAAGCCCACTTCCACGTGAAAGACTGAGCACCCCATGAACGTAGTGAAGCGCCGTCGTTGGAGCTGGATCTGTGACCCGGGTCTTAACATTGGGCCACAGACGCGGAACCCCACTTTCAGCCTACGTTAAAAGCCCGGGGAAAGGTACATGAAAGGAACAGCTCCATCGGCTTCGCAGGGTGGGAAGAGTTTAGCCTCGAAGAGAAATGTGACTCAGATGTCCCTTAGAAGCCCCTGGAAAAGCTGCATCTCAGGCGCTAGGAACAGCGTGAAACTTGTTAGTAGTCAACAGCTTCAAATATTGGTTTTTATTTTTTAAAACAATGAATTAGAAGATTTTTTTTTAATATAAAAGGTTAAAGGCACCGTGAAAGAATGAATATTTGCACTTGACTGTTTTAGAACGCAAAACCATTCGGAAGGCAAAACCATGCAGGCGGCCAGCACCTGATGCGTCCTGGAGGCGGCAAACTTCTCCTGGGGGGCATCCAGGGGCAGGGTGCAGAACTGCTGCACGGAGCCCCGCAGGTGACTTAAAGCTTGATGCAAAATACGGGATTTAAAGTTTTGGCATTTTTTTCAAGTTTTACAGATTTAAAGATGCCTTTTGGACTGCTCTAAATGAACAAAGATTTATTTCCTGGATAGTACTGGTGCTCAGGAATTATTTTTTAGGGACTAAAAATAGACGTTCAGTCTGATGATTACCTCCCTCCTTTTGTGCTTTATTGGAGGACTCATCCGAAGTGGAGGAAGAGGTTGTGAAACTAAACATCTGTTACTTGCTCACAGCTGTGAGGTCAGCATCTACAAGGAGGAGGGAAAGCCCTCAATTCATCGGCTTTACGTTGTTCTAATTCCCTTGTGGTGGGTGGCAGGACCCACTACATAAGCAAGACTTTAAAGAGGAATGGATAGTTTACTATAGATATTTGGGACACCATGATTACGACTACATTTATGTGTAAGAAACAAACGTTTGGATTCGTCATTAAAAAGTCAGATATGAAAAACAGTCAAACTATAAAATTAGGACTGGTGGCAAGCACTGAGCACAGTTACTTGAAGAACTAAGACTAAATGGGGGAGGAAGAAGGGAGTACAGTATGTGATACCATAGCAAAGTGTTCCGAAAATGTTGATAGAGTGCAGCTTTAAAAAGTAGGGGGAGGATAGGGAGCGCAAATAAAAAACGTTTAATTGTTTTCATTAAATATTGGTGGTAGTTGTATTAGTACTGTTACTCTGAAACTGTTGCATGTGTAAGGTAAAAAAAGAAATGAATATCTGTGTGATATTCTAATTCTATCGTGGCCCGTCTTGGAAAACCAGAATTCTCAGTATAGAAAAAATGGAAATATGGTTGGAAAAAAAAAGGATTAGATTGTAGTACTCCATTTGATTTGAAAGTATCAAAATAAACTCATGGCCCGGCCAGTATGGCCCAGTGGCTGAGCGTCCACCTATGAACCAGGAGGTCATGGTTCAATTCCCCATCAGGGCACATGCCCGGGTTGGGGGCTCGATCCCCAGTGTGGGTGTGCAGGAGGCAGCCTATCAATCATTCTCTCTCATCACTGATGTTTCTCTCTCCCCCTCTCCCTTCTCTCTGAAATCAATAAAAATATATATTTTAAAAAATAAATGCACGAAGTGTTTTATCTTTAAAAGACAAAGCTATTTCTTAGCTCCCTTCCAGAAACAATGGGAAGTCTAGTTGCAATGAGTATAGCAGCCCCGAGTAGAGCTTGGAAATGCCATTTCTCACTGAAAATGACCAGGCTTCTTGGCAAACGGCTGATTCCAGGTCTGGGGCAGGAAACATACAAGCTGGGCCTGGAATATTGTGTCACGTGAGACGGCAAGGAAGCCACCAAAGATTTTGAGAATAGGGTAAAAGGATTCAGAGGCAACGTGGTGAGACACCCAAGGGCCCAGGCTCC